CAGGTCCAGCAGCCAGAATCTGAAGACTATTTTTTAGACTATTTGGGGTGCACCACGTCTACATTGCAAGATGTTGTCCCTTGAGCTGCTGGGAGCCCCATTTTCAAGCAGTGGAGATACTCCAAGGTCCTTGGTAATAATAATAATAATGATAAAGTTGGAAGAGACCTTGGAGGTCATCTAGTCCAACCCCTTGCTCAGGCAGGAAACTCTATACCATTTCGGACAAATGGCTGTCCAGTTTCTTCTTAAAAACTTCCAGTGTTGGTGCATTCACCGCTTCTGGAGGCAGGTTGTTCCACTGGTTAATTGTTCTAACTGTCAGGAAGTTTCTCCTTAGTTCTAGGTTGCTTCTCTCTTTGGTTAGCTTCCACCCGTTGCTCCTTGTCCTGCCTTCAGGCGCTTTGGAAAATAGCTTGACTCCCTCTTCTTTATGGCAGCCCCTGAGATATTGGAACACTGCTATCATGTCCCCCCTCGTCCTTCTCTTCGTTAAACTAGACATACCCAATTCCAGCAACCGTTCCTTATATGCTTTAGCCTCCAGTCCCCTAATCATCTTTGTTGCTCTTCTCTGTACTCTTTCTAGAGTCTCAACATCTTTTTTACATCTTGGTGACCAAAACTGGATGCAGTATTCCAAGTGTGGCCTTACCAAGGCATTGTAAAGTGGCATTAATATTTCACGTGATCTTGATTGTATCCCTCTGTTAATGCAGCCCAACACCGCGTTGGCTTTTTTGGCAGCTGTGCACACCGTTGAGCACTCTGGAACCTGTGCAGAAGCTCAATCTTAGTGAGCAATTTTCAGGGGTTTATTAAAATTTGGCCTCAAAAGTTCATGGCCTTGATTCCCAGCTCAGGAGACTGCATGACCTGGCCTTGGTGAGATAACTCTGGAATGGAACCAAAAAGTCTGATAAGGCAGTGCTCTCTGCAGCTGCGTGAAAATTCCTCTCCCCTTTTTTTCAGCAAAAGAAAAGAGCAAGAGCAGAATGGGCTATAAACGTCTAGCCCAGGGGTCTTCAAAGTAGGCCCTTTTATGACTTGAGGACTTCAACTCCCAGAATTCCTCAGCCAGGCACGCTGGCTGAGGAACTCTGGGAGCTGAAGTCCACAAGTCATAAAAGAGCCAAGTTTGAAGACCCCCTGCTCTAGAAAGAGTACAGAGAAGAGCAACAAAGATGATTAGGGGACTGGAGGCTAAAACATATAAGGAACGGTTGCTGGGATTGGGTATGTCTAGTTTAATGAAGAGAAGGACAAGGGGGGACATGATAGCAGTCTTCCAATATCTCAGGGGCTGCCACAAAGAAGAGGGAGTCAAGCTATTCTCCAAGGCGCCTGAAGGTAGGACAAGAAGCAACGGATGGAAACTAATCAAGGAGAGAAGCAACCTAGAACTAAGGAGAAACTTCCTGACAGAACAATTAACCAGTGGAACAACCTGCCTCCAGAAGTTGTGAATGCGCCAACACTGGAAGTTTTTAAGAAGAGACTGGACAGCCATTTGTCTGAAATGGTATAGGGCTACCTGCCTGAGCAGTAAACTAGATGACCACCAAGATCCCTTCCTCCTCCACCACCACCATCATCATCATCCGGCTTTCATGCTGAAGGTGGGACTAGAACTTACAGTTTCCTGCTTTCTAGCCTGGTGCCTTAACCACTAGACCAAAATGACTCCATGTGTTTCTGTAACTCAAGCAACCACCCCACCCTTTTGACTTTTAACAGTGTGTGTGTGTGTGTGTGTGTGTGTGTTGGGGGAGGGGGAAAATGATGATTGACAGAGGGAGAATGCAACGTTTCACAGAAATTAGGGAGCTTTCAGAACTTACGCATTACTTTTACAAACCATACTTTATAACTCTCCAAGGTTTGTTCACCAACTTCAGTTCTCTAATTTTGCACCACGATTTCCTTGATTTGTCCTCGTACAGAGTGCAAGCCATGCAAGATTGAGATTATATTCCCCTTGCATATTTGAGGCTGGAAAACTGATTGCTGTTGGATTACCATTATTTAGAAACAACAGCTTTGTTTCCAAACCGAAGGCACAAGATTACTTTGGTTTTACAACAATTGCCACTGTATTCTACCTACCAAGGGCCAGGTAAAGAGAGCCTTACCTGGAACTAGAGAACCCTGCATGCTAATTATTATTTTTTGTAATTTTAACCACTGAAAATAGGCACTACCAAACATCCTATAGTTTCCACCCTATCAAGGAAAAAAATCCGTATCATTATATCCTTCCCGCATATATTTTTGTTTTCAATATCTGATAAACATTACGATGGAAATGTATGCTGCCCCTGATATTCACACCGTTGTTCCAACGGGAAACTCTGCTGTCCCAAAGATGTGTTTTCAAGAGGCAACTGGATGTTCTTGTTTTAATAATAATAATAATAATAATAATAATAATAATAATAATAATAATAATAATAATAATAATAATAATAATAATAATAATAATAATAAAGTTGGAAGGGACCTTGGAGGTCATCTAGTCCAACCCCCTGCTCAGGCAGGAAACCCTATACCATTTCAGACAAATGGCTGTCCAATCTCTTCTTAAAAACTTCCAGTGTTGGAGCCTTCACCGCTTCTGGAGGCAGGTTGTTCCACTGGATAATTGTTCTCACTGTCAGGAAGTTTCTCCTCAGTTCTAGGTTGCTTCTCTCCTTGCTTAATTTCCACCCATTGCTTCTTGTCCTGGCTTCAGGTGCTTTGGAGAAATTTTGCTTGTCATCCAAGAAGCTTCTTCAGGTTCAGAGCCGAAGAAGCTTCTTGGATGAGAAGCGAAACATCTTCAAAGAAAAACAAGAAAGTCCAGTTGCCTTTTGAAAAAGCGCCTTTGGGACAACCATGACCGGGATGACGGAGAATCTCCACGGACACTTAGAAACTCTGCTGTGTTGTGGTATGTTAAGTCAACAAGATATTAAACCCAGGCCAATTTTAGAGAATAGACATTTATTGACTCTTTCTAGCATAAAAGCAAGAATTTAATGCAGGAGAGTTGTTTACTATAATGTTTAGTAACTTCAGAATGACTAACATAGTTCTTATATGTGGCAGAAAAAGCTGTAATGAATCAGTAAAAGAAATATTAACATGTAAAAGTAACAACTGAACGGCAAAAACAGTTAAAAAATCCTATTTCACTGTCTTAAGATTACAACAATATGGAAAACAACATAGTGTAATAGCAGTTAATAATTGTATGATTAACAACCAAATAAAAGAAATTCTTGTTATCTAGCCCCAAACTCAATGTTTAATTACTCTGTTCATTCTGGCTGATTTGATTAACCTCTTTCTCTTGATTTCCTGGAAACTTACCATCAAAAAGTACTTGAAGAGTATCTCTCTAAACTGGCACTCTTTTCTTTGTGAGGTACAGTTTTATCATCAGGTTTTGATGAAAAGGGATCCCTTCTCTAAAAAGCAACATTTTTAAAATCCCTTGTTCCTAAGATTTGCTATCTTAAAGTTTATTTGCAGAAAGTAAATTAGGAGTGGTTGTTAGAATCTAGCCATTCTCGAGCTGTAGCAATGTAATATGAAAAGATGTTAGAAGGACTCAAGAAGCCAGGAAAACTGAGAATCTATCACCTATATTTCAGTGAGCATAGTAATCCAAGCACCCATCTCTCTAACACAGTGGTTCTCAACCTGTGGGTCGGGACCCCATTTGGGGTGGATCGACAATTTCACAGGGGTCGCCAAGCAAGGCTGTCCGCCATTTTTTTTGTCCGCCAATTTTTTCCCCTTTTCCGGCGGGTGCCTTACCTCCCTTGGGCTGGGCCAGCTGGTGGTCGGCCTGCTCCGTCTCTGCCGCTTGCCAGCTACGCCTCAGCCGGCACAGGGGGCGGAACCACGCATGCACGGCGCTCCTTGGCAGGGAAAGTCCTCGACTTACGACCGGTTTAGTCCTCGACTTACGACCAGTTGGGGTCGCGTCATTAAAAAGGTTGAGAACCACTGCTCTAACAGATGATAGATCAGGCTGTTGGATCCAGCAGGGGGTTGGACTAGAAGACCTCCATGGTCCCTCTGTTATTCTGTTAATTGATAAGCATCTCCAAAGAAATACAGACCTAAAATTGCTAACCCCAGAAAACAAAATGTAGACATTCTATTCATTTCCCAATTAATATGTGTGCATGGATATATGAGAGAGAGAGAGAGAGAGAGAGAGAGAGAGAGAGAGAGAGAGAGAGAGAGAGAGAGAGAGAGAGGGAGACTTGATTGTACCATCACTCTAAAAACGAAGGAAGCCTGTAGTGACAATAGAATTAACAGCAATGAATGAAATTGGACATCACATTTTTAACATTGAACTCAAGCTACATACATATCCCAACCCCTTTATCATAGAGACACAAATTATGGTAAAAAGAGAAGCACTTTTTACTTCAGCTTTTCCTCCACCAGAAACAGCCCCAAAAGAGAGAAGTGGTAGGGCAGACAAACCAGCAAGCAGATCAGCAGACAGAGGGAGAGGTATTGGTCCATAAAAATTGACCGAAGAGAAGAGAAGAGGGAACTGGTGCACTAAAGAAGAAACAAAAATAGAAATATTTACCGTAGTAGGAGCCAACGTGTGCCCCTACGTCAGAAATGGTCAGCCAAGATGATTTTTGAAAGGATCCGGAACGGCAATATCTATAGCCGTTTCTTGGTTTTCTAGTTTTAGCAAATACAAGATGACTGAGTGGCCCAATTCACGTCCTATTACTCTGAGGGAAATGCAATAATACAGAAGAGCCTAGACCAGGGGTAGGCAACCTTGGCTCTTTTATGACTCGTGGACTTCAACTCCCAGAATTCCTGAGCCAGCCATGCTGAGGGGAAAGGGAGAGGTTTCCAAGCTGAGCCATGCTGGCTCAGGAATTCTGGGAGTTGAAGTCCACGAGTCATAAAAGAGCCAAGGTTGCCTACCCCTGGCCTAGACTGCCTCCATTTCCCTCATGGATTGAAAGACATTTCTACATGAATTGATCAGCTTCATCCTCGGTGATTTCCCTCATTCCTTTGTGCACATTATGTTCGATCGCTTTCCTCTCAGCTTCCGGCACTTCCGGCAAGATAGCCTTCAGCTCAGAATTGATTTTGGCCACTCTGGCATGGATGTTATTTTCAAATTCTTTCTTTTGCTTAATGACCAGGTCCTCTATGGCTTTTCGGGCATTGTCACAGCCGTCTGCTAGTTTGATCCGCTCCATCCGGAACTGGGGATCAGAAGGATCCATGGAAATAAGCCTGCTCAGACTGCCCACTTTATCCATCAGGTATTTTGAAGACACGTCTGTGTAGGTCTCGGATATCATGTGCACCAAATGAGCTATGTTGGACGCATTGAAGGCCTGTTTATAGATCATATCTAGGACAAAGTCTTGGTGGGAATAATTCGGAATTTGGGGAAGATCTTCGGCTGATTTCACAAATTCGGTCAGGCGCTTATTGAGACAAGAATCAATGAGATTCGAGATCATCTGGAAGAAACGCACCATCTTCTCCCACTGCTCCTTCACTCTTCCCATGGCGTCCAGGCCTTTGATCAGCATGTTTTTGGCTTTTTCAAAATCAATCTCCTTTATTTCACATTTCCTCATTTCACTGAGCACGTCCAGCAAATCCTTATTCTGCTGCTTTAAGTTGTCGAAGCTTTTCTGGTATTCTTCTTGACTCATCTTCAGCATTTCTTTCGTTTGCTCGGTTTTCAAAAGGCTGTTTTTCACCGCTGATGACAACGATGAGTTTTCTTGGGCATTTTTCTGGGATTTGACCATATTTGGCGCCATGGGACCGAAAGGGGATGTGCGGTTGCAGGATTTGCTTCTGCTATCGAAAACCTCAATATCAATCGAGAGGGTGTTCATTTTCTTTATCAGTTTGTTCTGGTTTATGTTCCCTGACTCTACTCTTTCAGTTAACATATTGGAAATCTCGATTATATCTTTACATATTTTCACTGCCGATTTTTTCAGGCTGCACTTTCCTTCTTTTTTTATTTTCTCTAACAGTTGCTGGGATTTAATTTTGACCCATACGGTTTTGATTTCGTTGTGTTTTTTATTGTAGAGGACATCCATGTCAATATTACCTTCATCATCCACCACGGTTTTAAGACTGTCCACCAATGCCGCCATTTGACCTGATAGGGCACAGATGTTGTTCATGGCTATAAAGTCATTCCCACTTTCAAACTGTTCCTCACTTCTGCTCTCGATTGGAGAAAGCAACTTATTTCCGTTGAAGCTGAGCAAGGATGTCAGGTTGGCAATGGGCAACGTCAAGGTTTCTCTTAAAGTTGAAGTGAATTCCAGAACTACACTACTCCAGCCGGTAGGAATGCTATCTATCGCTTTTCTATAATCGTCAAACGTATCAGTCACTCTGTTCTTTACTTCCTTGTAGTATTCCTCTGCTTTCGCCTGGGCTTCTTCAGCGGCTGCCTTTCTTAGCTTCAGGTCTTCCAAGGCGCGTTTGGACTGTGTCAATCCTTGTTCATACTGTGATTTGGAACTCATACACACTTCCAGGAGTTCCCCAATCAGACAGATAACATCATTGAACTTATTGTCAACTGCCTTAGCCAAAGAAGAACATTCATTTGCAATCGATTTCAGGCTGGACAGCTGTCCAGGGAGCAAAGCATCTATCAAGGTAAGGTCATCCTGGAATAAGGTCTTCATGACCATCTTGATTTGCTCAGGGACGCTCATAGAAAGGAGCCGGATGCCATCCATATTCTTGTGGGCTATGCTGAAGGCATGCCACCCACTGTTGCTCACCTGCATCAGGGAGGCCTGGAAAGAGTCCGGATACCTCATATATTTGTAGCCTCCCTCGGGTGGGGCAAGATTGATGGCAAAATCTCCTTGTCCTGCAGCAATGCACGCCAGCTCCCCTAAGAGGGCGATGGAAATGGGCCCAGGCATCAGATACTCCTCCCAGTTTGCGTGGGGCTTCATCATCAGCTCCGTCTCCTTTCGGACTTCCTCTGCTTTGCTAATGTTCATCACGGCTCTCGTAGCAAGCGCACCTTTGGGCTGGACAGCCATTTCGGCCTGGATAAAACAAAAAGAAGAAGAAGAAAGGTTGAACAGTCAAAACTATAGTCTCTGGAATACCTGGATTGGAAAAGATCCCATTGAACTCAGGAGTTCTAGAAGATTTTGCCACATCCAGAATAACACAGTCATAACGTTTTTTTTATTGGCGCTAATTTCCTTTTCAGAAATATGCATGCCAAGCACAGGAAATCAGGAGCTGAGGCAGTTGAAATGAATACAGCTTTATTGCATGTTAGCATTCTCTACAAGAATCTGAAGTACTAACGGTTAAGGCAGATTGGTGGTTGATAAGAGTCAATGGAATTCAAGGATGGCTGGACTTAGATCTCTTGTGGGCGCAAAGGGACTCAAAACTGATGACGCGCTTGACCCCTCCCTCGGGCTCAGCCTGGTCATCTCCTACAATGCAAAATTTGCCTGACTCGCTGCATTTTCATAAATTAGATTTAGAAATTCAATTCTGAACCTTTGTTTCACATGTACTTAGCTTGCTTCTATCAGAAATGTTGACTTTTAGCTCTTATAACCTCCAGAGCCAACCCAATGGCCACATTCATTGGGAATTTACAGAATTAACATCCAACACATCTGGATAGAATTTTTTTTAATATTAATTTAATTAATATTAATTAAATATTATTTATTAAGTCTTTTAAGTGTTGTTTAACCAGTGCCAGCAATAAAAATGAATACTACCTTTTTATACTTCAATCTAAATAACTGAAAACAGCTATATGATTTAAAAACCTAGACAATAAAGCTAAAAGAAAAAAAAAAAGAAAAAACTAAAAAGAAAAAAATGCAGAACAACATTCCAATAATATTTTCTACTTGCTTACAGTATATGCCAAAATCAGCGAAATCATAGTTATACAAATCATTAGAGCAGTGTTTCTCAACCTTGACAATTTTAAGGCATGTGGACTTCAACTCCTAGAATTCCACAGCCAGCATTGATTTGGGAGTTGAAGTCCACATGCCTTAAAATTGTCAAGGTTGAGAAACACTGCATTAGAGTCAATGTTTGAACAACAAATCAAACCAAGTTTGTATGGAGACCTATTATCTGATCTTGCCTTTCTGGCAATACAAAATCTGTTCAAAGATTGAAAGCTGACAAGTTCTGTTTAACCAAATGTTGGAGTCTCAAATACATTTATTCTTCAAATAATTACACGATCTCATTTAGTGCCACAGTAAAACCACAATACAGATAGTCCTCAATTTACCAGCTACAACCATTCATTTAGTGACCATTCAAACTTACAACAGCACTGGGAAAAGTGACCCATGACCGTTTTTCACATTTAACATTGCAGCATCCCCCTGGTCACGTGATCAAAATTCGGGCACTTGGCAACTATTTGTGGCAGTTGCAGTTTCCTGGGATCAGGTCTTTTGTGACCTTCTGATAAGCAAAATCAATGGCAAAGCCAGATTCATTTAACAACCGTGTTACTAACTTAACAACTACGGTGATTCACATAATTGTGGCAAGAAAGATCATAAAATGCTGCCAAACTCACTCAATAACTGTCTTACTTAGCGATGGAAATTTGTCGTCGTATTCCAAGAACTACCTGTACCTCAAAGTATCTTCGTAGTCAAATTCAAGCTTTCCAATGTATTAACTGGAAACACGTTCACTTCTTTAAATGTAAGTTTCTCCCTCCCCAAGAGGAACTTGACTTATACATTTAATAAATAGTTTAGTTCAGGGGTAGGCAACCTTGGCTGGCTCAGGAATTCTGGGAGTTGAAGTCCACGAGTCATAAAAGAGCCAAGGTTGCCTACCCCTGGTTTAGTTGAATGCTTAAAGGGAGATAAACAAAGGACCTGTCTTGCTTCTTCCAGTCTTTCATTTCCCTCTGACTTTGATTCAAGCCAGATTCACATCTTTAAATGTAACCTGACTTATCCATTTAATAAATAACTGAAAATGATTGATTGAATGCATAAAGGGAGAACTTGTTTTGCTTATTCTGACTTCATCTTTCATTTCCCTCGGGCTTTGATTCAAGCCAGATTCAAGAGATTCCTTTGACACCCAGGAATGTATTAAGAGTTAAAGTACAATTAGATTTCACCAAGAGGTGGGATTTAAGGAAAAAGCCACTTTAGAGCCACCTTCTTCCGTGAACTCGGGAACGGTGAAGAGAAACAAGCTTAAATTACATCCTCGCCATAATCTGCTTCCAAATCCTAACTGAACACACGCTTGTTTCCTCGGCCTCCTTGCTCCGAGCTCTGCACGCCTCTTTTCAGCTAGTTTTGGACTACTGCTCAAAATATGAATATTGGCATCCCCCTAGTGGAGCACAGTGACACATAATTTTCAGACTTCAGCTGAATCCTGGCTTCCTGGCTCTTCCCCCGTTTCATATAATAATAATAATAATAATAATAATAATAATAATAATAATAATAATAATAATAATAATAATAATAATAATAATAATAATAATAATAATAATAATAATAATAAAGTTGGAAGGGACCTTGGAGATCATCGAGTCCAACCCCCTGCCCAGGCAGGTAACCCTATACCATTTCAGACAAGTGGCTGTCCAGTCTCTTCTTAAAAACTTCCAGTGTTGGAGCCTTCACCGCTTCTGGAGGCAGGTTGTTCCACTGGTTAATTGTTCTAACTGTCAGGAAGTTTCTCCTTAGTTCTAGGTCAGGGGTAGGCAACCTCGGCTCTTTTATGACTTCATGCCAAATCTTCATGCCCTTAAAAAGTAGCTCAAAATACGGAGGGGGGGGGAAGCAACCCCCAAACGCTAACAAATTCCCGCAGCCAATCTCTAAAACTAGCCCAATTAGGCAGGGAAATCTCTAAAACTGGCAACATTACTCAAACTTCAACTCTCCCTCCCTTCCCGCTCCATACTTGCATTTTTCCACTCCCCGAGGGAGGAATTTTCTGCTCCTTCAAGGCCACAACCCTCCAGAATTCAGGGGCAGGCAACGTTGGCTCTTTTATGACTCGTGGACTTCAACTCCCAGAATTCCTGAGCCAGTCAAGCTGGCTCAGGAATTCTGGGAGTTGAAGTCCACGAGTCATAAAAGAGCCAAGGTTGCCTACCCCTGTTCTAGGTTGCTTCTCTCCTTGATCAGTTTCCATCCGTTGCTTCTCGTCCTGCCTTCAGGCGCTTTGGAGAATAGCTTGACTCCCTCTTCTTTGTGGCAGCCCCTGAGATATTGGAACACTGCTATCATGTCCCCCCTCGTCCTTCTCTTCGTTAAACTAGACATACCCAATTCCAGCAACCGTTCCTTACATGTTTTAGCCTCCAGTCCCCTAATCTCCACTGCAGAATCTGTCTCCATTCCCACATTGGGCTTTCATTCAGTTCACCGTCCATAACCAGAAAATCAGCCTATCTCTGGCTCTCCCCCACCCCAATACTCTGCGTTTTCTAACCCCTGCGGGAGAAAGTTTTATGCTCCCTTAAGGACACGACCCTCTGGAGCAGGGGTTCTCAACCTTGGCAACTTTAAGACTTGTGGACTTCAACTCCCAGAATTCCTCAGCCAGCTTTGCTGGCTGAGGAATTCTGGGAGTTGAAGTCCACAAGTCTTAAAGTTGCCAAGGTTGAGAACCCCTGCTCTGGAGGCTCATCTGTTCGTAAAAGACGCCGTGAGAACCACCATAAGAAACACCCCCTCCCCCGAGAGAGAGAGAGAGAGAGAGAGAGAGACTCACGTCGGCACCTGTTTGCCTTTGAAGTTCAGACTGGAGAGGAGCCCAAACCGGCTATGTTCGCCCTGCGAGGGTTTTCGATGCTTTTGGGAAGCTCGGGCGGATGCGAGTCCTTTTTATACGCAGCCTGTTTAGTTTCAGTTTCTGCTTTGCACCGATTCCTGAAAATCAGGCGTGTTCGGAAATCAGCCCTGGTTGTGAAAGGCGGCTTTTCTACCCAGAACCTTAACTCTAAATCCTCCCCTGGATGCTTCGGGCAACTTCTGCAGCCTCTCTTAAAATGGGGCATTGCAAATCAAAACAGTTTCTGGTTTTATAAATACCCTCTGGACCTCTGAATGGGGACTTCTTTCTTTCTTTCTTTCTTTCTTTCTTTCTTTCTTTCTTTCTTTCTTTCTTTCTTTCTTTCCTTCTTTCCTTCCTTCCTTCCTTCCTTCCTTCCTTTTTTCTTTCTTTCTTTCTTTCTTTCTTTCCTTCCTTCTTTCTTTCTTTCCTTCCTTCTTTCCTTTCTTCCCTCCTTCCTTCCTTCCTTCCTTCCTTCCTTCCTTCTTTCTTTCTTTCCTTCCTTCCTTCTTTCTTTCCTTCCTTCCTTCCTTCCTTTCCTTCCTTCCTTCGTTCCTTCCTTCCTTCCTTCTTTCTTTCTTTCTTTCTTTCTTTC